CTAAATACGTTAGCGTTACTTTTTAGTGTGACATTTTTATGCATATTCATACACAAACTATAACGCTAGTATATATTTCAGTAATTAAAGCAACATTAGTTGTTTTTTTCTCGACATCATGTTAGCCTAGATGGGGCCCTATGGCATACATACACACTATCATATGTATATGCAAACTTTCCATTTGATCGTGTGGCCGAACTTTTGACCTGTACATAAAATATAAAATTCTCATGTTTTTTACGTGGGTAAAGAAATATGATTCCGCAAGGTTTAAATGTAAAATAAAGAGCTTGTTTAAATTAGTTCCTTTCTTTGGGAATGAAACTGCAGAGAATGTTTCCAAAATCCTAATGTACATATATGTACGCGCTTTACAAAATACTTTTCAAAATTACTTGAAAAATATGCTAAACTTCCAACATTATTTAAAATTATTTTAAAATATTTTCATGTAAATTCTAGCAGTTCCCTATCATCCTCAACTCTCCCCAAACTCGTTATTAATAGAAAAATATATTGACAAAAAAAAGAAATAACAACAAGTAAGAAAGGGCTAAATTCAGGTTTAACCGAACGTTTCATACTCTTGCAACTTGACAGGATCAAAGTCGGGGAACTACCTCCCACATTGGCCGATATACGTAGTATAAAGTCAACTGAAGGCTTGTCCGAATTTCAATAACATATCTCACAGATAGACCAATATTTTTAGCAAATTCCAATGACTAATTACTAAATGTTTATAATTTTGTCTTTCCAACGCTTTCGTTCTTATGTATGTACGTAAGTGCATATGTACGTCGAAAGTAAGAATGAAAATCGAAAACTATATTAAATTAACTTAATCAACGAATTTGTGCCAACAACTGTATGTATAACTACATATATACAGGTATGTACATACATATGTAAATATGCGCTGGAGATAAAGGTTTAACATTTGAACAAATGCTCGTAATGAATTCTATCTGCTAAGTATGTACATATGTATATAAGTTTGTATACATTGTTTCTAAAACAACAACTGTATGTATGCATATATTACTAACCCAAATTATTGTTGATTTTTTATCGTTTACATTTTTAAATAAATATTATTTTAAATCCACACTCACTACCTTTTCACTCACTATTAAATTTGAATGTTTATTTCAATGATCAGAGAAATGAAATGCTGAGAAAAAATTTAATTAAGCATCGTCATAGGTATACAACAATTCATAGTGATTACTTGATATTCTGAATGTATAAACATTTTTTTAAATGTATTGGAAAACATCAAAGATTTATCATTTTCATTAACCACAAGTTATTTAACTCATGCTTCCCTTGACTCTGCTTGGGTATAATATGTAATATGAATGTATGAAAAATTATGACCAGCAAAACTAATTTTGATTTCTTGACAAAAAATTTCGATTTTTTATAGCTGAAACAGCTACGTTGACATTTTTTTTTTTTTTTTTTTTTTGAATTTAATGCATTATGTAAAGGTTTCAAAATAACAAAAACATTCCATAATTTTGCTGACAATGTAATGCTAATGAAGAACGAAATTCGGGGAAACAAGTAAGGCAGAACTAAGTTCGGATGTATTCGAATGTTTCCAATTATTGAGAATGTCGTGTAGCTTTGGACAATAATCTGTGTCAAAGTGGACTGGACCTTAATCGATCAGTTTATATGGATATCGTTGGTTCTGACAAAATTTCAAATAGCGTGGTTATCAGCAGGTTTTCTCCTTTTTCGCACTTTGTAATGGGTACTAAATTGTTAGCGTAACTTGATTATTATTCCATTGTTGCTATAATGCCGCATAAATTGGGTGCCATAAGAATTGAAGTCAAGAGACGCTGATTGACGATTGGATCCATTATGACAACCTTAAAGGCAAAATATTGTGTATGAAAGCTGGCCAAGTAGCCAAATCAACGGCTGTTGATCTTCTAATACCGGATGAAATCATTTACGGGGAATGCCGAAAAATGCCTGGCATGACAATACTCGACCTTATGTTGGAGGATCGTTTGAAAACTATGTGAACAGTGGCTATTAGTGGTTCCTACTCCTCCGCCGAATGGTCATAACATTTCTCTTCTGACTGCGGTATTTCCGGTCGATGTAGAACGTCTGCGATCGAATAAGGTTCGGAATAGGGTACAAAAGTTGCTTCTTCACTCATTCTTGACTTGCAAGCCGTCGCAGTTCTTTTAAGATAGAATTCGCAAATTACCAGAAAGGAAAGAAGAACTTGTACTCAGCAAGTTTGGTCGTGAGATACGTAAGATATATACATTTTACGCCCGCCCAAGAAACCTTTCCTACTTTGATATCGTGTTTAAAATTTGTATCTTAATTTGAGTCAAAATCTCTTTATTTTCACTCAATTTAACCATTCGGTCAAAGCAACTATTGTACTTTATTACAACACGTTTCGAGAGTATGAAAATTGAAGAAAGCGAAAAAATCGAGAACAAACAATGAAGTAGTTCTTAATGTTAGAAATAGGTTCGTTGAACTTTGTAAACAAGCCTAAGGCACTGAGAACCATAAGTGGTAAAACATGCCACAAAGATCATAAAGAAGCGTGTTAAGCAAACGTACAGTCATCTGTGTAAGCAAAAGACTACCTTAGCTTAGCCAAGATACAACAGCTTCCAACTCATAACACACATAGACCTAAATACATGCTTGGGTATGTAGTATGTATGTATGTATGTACATGTGTCCATTCTTTTTTGCACGCAATTATTGAGCTAAATTATTAGCCGTCATCGACACGCTACTTTTCTGCTCGCCATATTTGATTCTTGTAAAAAAATTTACATATTAAAGTTACAACAAATATATTCAGTATAATAGAATATACATAAAACTTCTTCAAAGTGTAATATACCATAAACACACCGATTAAGGCTTTGAGAATATATTTTGATACCAAACCCAAACTTATCCCCAGCCTTCAAGACACAAATGCAATGCTTTTATTTTTCTCGCTAAGGTGCTATTGCTACAGAAGCAAACACCTACTACTTTGTGACGTTCAAAGTGAAATGCTAATTATGAAGTTTTTATACAGTGAACAGGGTATATTAAGTTTGCCACGAAGTTTGTAGCACCCATAAGGAAGGGCCGGAGACCCTATAAAGTGTATATATATATAAATGATCAGTATGTCGAGCTGTGTCGATTTAGCCATGTCCGTCTGTCTGTCTTTATATATACGAACTAGTCCCTCAGTTTTTAAGATATCGTTTTGAAAATTTGCAAAAGTAATTTTGTCTTCACGTTATCGGACCATTATAACTTATAGCTGCCATACAATCTGAACGATCGGAATCAAGTTCTTGTGTGGAAAACTTTCACAGTTGACAAGATATATTTACGAAATTTGGTTTATATTATTTTTTAAGGCAACTATGTAATCTCCGAAGATATTGTTCAGATCGGATTACTATAGCATATAGCTGAACACATAGTTACTAACAGAAATGCACCTGTGAAGGATATTTAGCTTCCGTGCAACCGAAGCTAACGTTTTTTCTTGTTTTTCTTACGAGTTTGTTTCAGTTATATTGTAATCAACTTTGTTTCTACACCAACGAGATTCGCACTTACATAAAAGGAATTAACTGTGTTTAACCTCCGTTAACGAGTTGTCAACTCGGCAATTTCTTTCCAAAACTATTTTAGGAACGTTATATGTTTTTGTATAGTTTTTTTATACTATTGCAGCATGTTGGTACAGTAATTTTGATCACCTAACGGTTGTGTGTATCACCTAAAGATACAGGGCTGTAATTTGGCACAGGGGGTCGTTTTGGCAAAAGGAGTGGGTAAAAAATTAACGTGGCCTCGCCCTCTAATAGGTTTAATGTATGTATCTTCCAAACCATTCAAGCAAAAATAACCAAATTTGCTCTGAACAAATAGCATAAGCACCCCTATTTACATTTTTAAAATGTATGATAATCCCGCACAAGCAAAACAAATGGGTCTGACAGTGAACGAGGACAACACGAAATATCTCCTGTCATCAAACAAACAGTCGTCGCACTCGCGACTTGGCTCTCACGTCACTGTTGACAGTCATAACTTCGAAGTCGTAGATAATTTCGTCTATCTTGGAACCAGCGTAAACACCACCAACAACGTCAGCCTGGAAATCCTGACGCCACGTAGCGAAAAGAAGAAACGACTGGCGCGCTGTTGTTAACTCGGCTATAATCGCGTAAGCGGTGTCTACGCCAATTAAGAAGAAGAAGATAATCCCGCACACTCCCCATATAAAGGTACTCTTAAAAACTACTAAAAGCGCAATTAATGAATAACTAAATGATGGTATGAGAGGGGTGATTGAAGGAGCCGGAGTAAAAATTTCAATATAAGCGTGGCACCCGCCTTTAGGGTAAATTCACATATCTGAGGACTTGTTCGACCGATTTCAACTGAATTCGGCACTTGTAATTCCTATCTTGCAGTGTGAAATTGAGTAAAACATGTAACACAATTTTAAATTTCATTTCATTATTTAACTCTCCAGTATTCAAATGATGATGCAATTTATATAATGAGACAAAACTTTGCACAAAAAGTGCCGTTGAAGTAGTAGCGAAAAAAAGAATACAAAAGCCAAGAGAAGTACAGAGAACTTCCCTTGTGGTTTCATGTTGATCCACAAATTAAAAAAGAAAATGCGACAATTCGATCATTCGTATTAACATGTTCATAAAATACTTATAAAATTAACAAAATAATTGCATTTATACTTTTATTAATTAAAGTTCAATCACATCATTCTTAAATTTGTAATTAACAGTTAAAAAGAGAAATAACTTTGTGAAACAAGAATATGCAATGCATGTACTTAAATATATATACATATATTAATATATAATTATTTTTAATGATCCAAATAGAATTTGTGTCGAGTTAGTAACTCGGTGAGTATGTACGTGGTTTCATGGCTTTTAATTTGGATTAAGTAAAAGGCAATATTAACTTTTTACAATATAATAAAATAGAATGCATTTCATAAACAATAACAATTTATTCTTACCCAGTCGAATTCTTTAATTTACTATATTTAATCACTAGGTAACTCATAGAACTTCTTTAGCGCCTGCTTAGTTTCCTCCGTATCGGTACTCACAAAACAGAGACCCAAATTTTTATCAGCCACAATCTTTTGCCAGAAATGTTGAAGTTTGCTTTGTACAACTCGAGTTCTTATTTCGCAAATCCAGTTGTTGTAATCATCAAATGCGTTGAAGTCATAACAGTGTTTACGATAAACTGCTAACGATGCTTCCAACTTTTCGTAATTTAAGCTATCCTTTGATTGGAATAGTAATGTCCAAATAGTATTACGCATTTGCTTTGCGTAAACCTGAAATTTTGCATCACGCTCTGTACGATTTTCCATTTTCAAAACAATGCAATTTATTAGTTGACGAAAATCTTCAGCTGGGGTATCCTCACTAACTCTATCAAAACTCAGTGCAGAACTGCTATCAGTTGCAGTGCTTGCACCGCTATGACTAAATTCAGATTTAACCTTAGCAGTTGTGTTTGGTTTGCTTTCTGATTGGTTTTCTTGTAACGTAAATAAGGATTTTACCACTTTGGCTGCACGCTTTGCGTTCTTCTCACGCATTTCAGGCACTTTCCAAAATATTTCTACGAAATTTTTATCATCCAACATTTCAGCGAATTGCTCATCGTCTTCACTAGCATTGGATAATATCTTCCTTTCTAAAACATCCAACACATTTTGCTCATAAATGTGTGCCAATGACTCGAAGGGTAACAGATCGGGCTGATATGTGTCACGTGGCTCATCACACACTTTCGTATTTATAGTCAAGTCCATTGAATCAATTAGATCATCTATGGCAGCAAATTGCTCTTTAGTGCATTCCGTTTTTTGCGTACGCAGGCGCGGAAATTGGAAATACTGATGCTGTGAATGATAGGCTATTTCGACCATTGTAAGGGAGGCAGGCCTGTCGGAATTTAACTGTTAAATCAATTTATTATTTTTATTATTTATTATTTATTATTTTATAATTTTTTAATTACCTTATTAGGCAAAAGAACTACCATTTTCGGAGTATTAAATGCAGTGCTAAATACTTTGCAACAAAGCATAGCCATATTTAAATTCGTCATAGCGCGTACTAATGCATCAAATTTCTGCGCTGAAGCATTCATGCCTTTCTGATGCACAATCCAGTATAACGAATCACCACAAAAATACTCTTCCGGTATAGAATTGCGTTTTATAAAACCAACAAACTTTAAGCCTGGCTCATAGCGTTCCTTATTATCTTTCAATGATTCATCATAGGCTATTGGTGTGGAGCCCAACATATAACCATCAATGAGTTCCTCCACAGTAGGCTCTATCTCTGAACCACGTACAAAAGATTTCAATTCACGCGAAACTAGTTCATCATCTTGGCCCCAACACTTCTTTAATTTGATATTGCTTTCATCTTTCATATAAATAATACCAGATATTTTTATGTTGATCTCTGAACCAATAGTTAGTTTACTATTCCAAACCCACGGGCGTTTATTGGTAATTTTGAATATACAACGTTTAGCTTCTTCAAAATTACAAAGCTGCGCACTGCAATTGGTTATCAATTGTAAGGCGTAGTCTTCATTTTTGACTTGGTTTTTGCTTTTTTTGCCATCTTGAAATATTGCTTTCGGTAAGCCGCTAATTGGATTATCGATGTATCGTATTTTCTCTGATCTGTTGAAGCATAATGAAAAAGTTAAGCTTTTATTCATGTTGTACAAAGATATAATAATAACACCCACATTACGACCAATTCGACTTCTGTTTGGGCCACATTTTGTGTGATAACGTCAAACATATCATAAGAATTCCGCACATCATTGAAATCGTAGAAGAATAGTATTCTGGATTTTTGGAACTTGAAACATCTGCACAAATTTAAACGTTTCATATGTCTATTTTAAATTTGAGGCAATTAGTTATACTTACTCTTCACCTCTTTTTATAACTTCCATTGCTACAACTAATGCGTCAAGCCATTCACCATCATCACAAGCATTTTCATTTACAAATTTATAGAAATTTAAAAGCAATTGCCATGTAGGACATTGTGGCTGCTGATATTGTGTTATATTATTGTAACTATCTGGGAAAACATGCTCATTGACATCGTTGGAAGTTTTTTCAGTACCAAGTAGCACAAAGGAAACAAAATCTTTTTTCCCCGCACAAATCTAAAACATATACATATGTATGTAATTCTATTTCAGTGTTTTCATATTTTTTAATTGAAGCTTACCTTTTCTTTTAAAATTTCTGATACGAATTTCACGGATTTCAATTTCAAATTTTCATCGGCGCATGGCCGAATATCTAGTACGGCTACAACAAATTCCTTATAATAATAAAAAAAAAACATTATGACTGTCAAAATTTAAACTTTTTTTTTGTTATATTTACCTTATTCAATGCCATTTTGTTGGCTTTTTTAAAAACAGAAATTTGTTTGCTTGGATTTGTTGTGAAATTTGGCCGCCACAATTTTATAGCTGACAATTAGTGAAAGCAGACACGAAAGTCGACAATAGAGTGACATCGATGTCAGATCGATTTGTGTTGAAAATCGGATAAACGATAAATAATAATTTAAGTGTGATGTTTATAGAATAAAAAATCAAAAAATATATCTTATGTACAGGTAAAAAAATATTTAGAATATTTTTTCATAAATTTAAGCCGATTTCATTGTGTAATAAGCCTCCCTACGTTAAAAAAGATCACGAGTTTTGTCATATTAACAATTATAATTTTAATAGTAAGATGTATAAAAACCGGGGTAATTCTCGAAAATTCAATGAGAAAATGCGGCGGCTTACAGAATCCCGCTATTCAAGACCGGAGCATACTCCTGTAGAATCCCCAAAGGTGATCTAGTCACCGATGCTCAGAGCATACTTAAATTATGGAGGGAACACTTCTCCAGCCTGCTGAATGGCAGTGAACATACAGCCAGGAGAAGGCGAACCCGATACCCCAATCGATGACGATGGAGCAGACGTTGCATTGCCCGACCATGGAGAAGTTCGAATAGCAATTACCCGCCTGAAGAACAGCAAAGCGGCGGAGACCGATGGATTACCGGCCGAGCTATTCAAACACGGCGGCGAAGAACTGATAAGGAGCATGCATCAACTTCTTTGTAAAATATGGTCGGACGAATGCCCAACGATTGGAATTTAAGTGTGCTATGCCCAATCCATAAAAAGTGAGACCCCACAATTTGCGCCAACTACCGTGGGATAAGCCTCCTCATCATCGTGTACGAGGTTCTATCGAGCGTATTGTGTGAAAGATTAAAGCCCACCATCAACAAACTGACCTTAGCAGTGTGACTTTAGACCTGGAAAATCAACAACCAACCAGACGATGATATTGATATATGGACAAGGGTCATAACTTTGAAGACGTAGATAATTTCGTCTATCTTGGAACCAGCGTACACACCACTAACAATGTCAGCCTGGAAATCCAACGCAGGATAACTCTTGCCAACAGGTTCTACTTCGGACTGATTAGACAATTGAGAAGCAAAGTCCTCTCTCGACGAACAAAAACCAAACTCTATAAATCACTCATAATATCCGTCCTGCTATATGGTGCAGAAGCTTGGACGATGACAACAACTGATGAGTCGATGTTACGAGTTTACGAGAGAAAACTTGTGGGAAAGATTTATGGTCTTTTGCGCGTTGGCCACGGCGAATATCGCATTCAATGTAACGATGAGTTATATGAGATATACATATAACGACATTGACATAGTTCAGCGAATTAAAAGACAGTGGCTACGMTRGCTAAGTCATGTTGTCCGAATGGACGAAAACACTCCAGCTCTGAAAGTATTCGACGCTGTACCAGCCGGGGGAAGCAGAGGAAGAGGAAGGAATTCACTCCGTTAGAAGGATCAAGTGAATAAGGACCTGGCTACGAGTGGAATATCCAATTGGGGCCACGGAGCGAAAAGAAGAAACGACTAGCGCGCTGTTGTTAATTCGTCTATAAGCGCTTAAGCGGTGTCTGGGCCAATTAAGAAGAAGAAGATGTATAAAATTTCAAATATAAATAATTATTTTGGAAAACATTTAAGGTTTTATTATATGTTTTAATATATAAATGTGTAATTGTATGTACAGGGGATACGCAGCGAATATAAGCTTTATTTAATTAAAAGATATTTGTAAGAACTAATTTAAGCAGGTATTATACATTTTCTTGGTGAGAAACTGGCAACTCTAATTTCTATTCGTTTTGTTCTTTAATCAAATATTAATCGAAACTTGCCAGCAAAGCAAAAAATATATACAAATATGTAATGAAAATGTTATTCGAAAAAAACAAGTGTAAAAAAAAAAGAAAATTACATCAATATTATTTCGAGACGCAGATTTTGCACTGCAGTATAAATCATTTTATCCGTGCGCTAGATACAACTGTGACGTCATATTTCGTTTTCTTTAGCGAATGGAGCCTCACAGCCTCCATAGTTGTAAAATTCTTTTGGTTTCGGATCCTCCATATCATCGAAATAATCAGAATCTCTAGCCCAACAAGGACCTAGTTCCTTTTCAACAATGTGCTCTCTCCAAAACTCGATCATATTGCGTTTCATCAATTCGTCCCGTACCCCAATTATCCAATCATTATAAGTAAATGGGTCATAAAAGCACGCATCCTCTTTGATTTTTTTTAAAAACTCTGCTATTTTTGATTGATCTTCCTTTTTGATGGAACCAGGTACAAAAAGAAGCTTCCACACAGTGTCTTGCGCAGCAGCGGCGATTTTCTTGTAGTTACTCTCTATTAGGTTGTCATCGCTTATATTTTCTGATTGTACATTTTCCTCCATTAAACGCACATAATCCTCTAGTGGAGTTTCCAACGAAATCACAGGTTCAAAATTCAACTGAGAAACAAATGGACATATACTATATAATGGGACAATTTCAGATATTAAGGCAAAACTTACAGCATTGGTAGAAGCAATTGGTGTTTGGAGCACAGCTGGGGTTGGGAGATTCAAAAAGTTCGACAAACTAGAATTATCCACTTGTTCAAAAGGTGCCACGCAGCCAGCATAATTGTAAAATTCTCTTGGTGATGGGTCTTCCATGTCATCAAATAAATCAGAATCTCTGGCCCAACAAACACCTAGTTCTTTTTTGACCATGTGATCCCGCCAAAAGTCAAGCATATTATTTTTCAACAACTTGTCACGCACAACAATTATCCATTCATTATAACTATTTGGGTCAAAGAAGCACGCATCCTCCTTTATTTTGTTTAAAAACTTTGCGATTTTTTCTTGATTCTCCTTTGTAATGGAACTACCTTCAAAAAGGAGTTTATCCACAGTTTCTCTCGCGAGAGTAGCTATTTTCTTATAATTATTCTCTAACGTATAATCATCATCTACATTTTCTGATTGAACATGCTGTTCCATGAGACGTTCATAATCCGCTAAAGGTGTTTCCAAAGATATTTTTGGTTCGAAATTGGCCTGAGGAAATATATTAATATTTAAAAAATTCAGATGTGTTGAAGATGTATGTATGTATGGCAATCACGGTAGAGGATGCAACTTACCGCACTGGTCATGGTTGGTCTTGTTTGATGTACGATCGGACTTGATGTTTTTAATAAGCCTGCCGGGCTTGAATTAAACATATTACGTAGGGATAAATATATAAGACAAATAATAGTATAATAAGTAGAAAATGTTGAGTACGTATGAATCACGCAAAAAATTGCTTTACCTATACATAAGTCATCGTTGTGATAATTTGAAAACACAAATAAACTAATCAGATGATGCCAGATTCTTCGTTATCTCAAAAATAGGGTTTCCGAAACTTCCAAAAATTTTAGAAGACTACATCAAGCTACATAAAGTGAGCAGCACTGGCCAGACTTAGTTGAAGTTGAAACTTGAAATCTCATTTGGTACTTTCTTCACATTTTCTTTATTGCAATAAATGTAAAAACTTATTGGCATACCTCACATTTGATACTCTTCAAAAGGACATAATTTAATGGTAAAATTGTGAAAGCAAATTTACCTTAGTCAAAGTGTTATAGTGTCGAAACATTTGGGCTAATTAGCACGTAAAGCACAATAGGGGTATTCTCTTGCTCTTGCAAAACCCTTGCACGGTGCACGAATTGCAGATATTTCCTGCTAGTGCACCGGCACAACAACAAACACACGGAGAAAGTTATTTGCAATGGCTGTGAAATATGTCAGACCAAAACCCATGTTTATTCTCGTGCAATGACACAGAAAAAAAAAATTGCAACCTTGTGATAGCTGTAGAATGACGTTAAATTGTTGAGGAAGGTAAATTTTAAATAGATTTTATAATTTCTATTTAAATTATAAAGATTTGTTAGAGTTTTCTGTGTTAAGAATGATTGCAGAAGGACCGCCAATTCACAACAGCCATGCAAAATCGTCATTTACAATAAATTGACCGAATCTGCCGTTCACATATATCACTAGATTCTGCAATGGGTGCTCTCGTGAGCTTGTATATTTCGTTATAGGATTTTTGCAATCTTCCAAGAGCAGGAGAATTACTAATATATTACTTGAAATTAACTTCACAACTAGAGAATATCTTGTAAATTATCTACGTTTGCTTTTATAAATAAGTTTAACTTTCTTCGGACAAGACTTATCCTTTAATCTGTTTTCTATTTGTAAAGAGTTGAAAAGTATTGACCAATCTATACCTTCTATTTAGAATAGTTCATTTTAACTATTAACATTTGAAGCCTACAGCACAAAACTCGGAGTTTTCAATTATGACAGTAACACGTCAATTGAGCCATTCACAGTAGCAAAAGATTTAGAATAAATCTTATTGTTTATTATAACACAATAATGAGGTATCCTTATACTCCCTTGTATATTATACAAGATTATTGTATATAACTTAGCGCAGTGCGTTTTTTATTAGAGAATATATGCCGATATAAAAGAAATGCTGTATTTAAGTATTCTAATGGTTTGGAATCTTGAAACTCCCTGTATTCTTACAATTCATCTTTTCGCAACCCTGTTGTTTCAAATGCTAATTTAACATATTTAGTTGCCTTCTGTTGTGTAGTTGCGTTAGTTCCAAAATTTTCTACTTAATTGAATTTGTGAATGAGATATAATACCGTCTTAACAACTATAATATGTTCAAGTATTATTCAAGTCAGATAAATACAATAATACAAGTTTGTTTATAAAAATGACAGTCATAGTTACTGAAGTAGAACACATAGTGAATGGGTGGTAATTTGAGTTGCGGGGACACAGTTGTTTTACTTAAACCAAAAATACCAGTTAAAACCAATCACTAGTTTGTTGTATAAATAAACAAAGGCGGAAAATTGTAGATAATTCTCAAAATATTCAGAACTTGTAGCGAGCATATGTAAGCAGCACTAGTGCAATCTATAAACGGTGTGGGAGTAGACGTGTGGTAATTAATGTTTACATATACTTAGGTTAAAATGTAAATATACAATAACGGTATATGCTGAATGGGCAAAATCAGTAATTTTTAAATTTAAGTTGTAGATAAAACATAAGAATGATATGTAAACTTATAATTTTACCTTGATTAATTACTATTGATTTGGCTATAACACGCATCAAACCAACAACAAACGATTACGACGGCCAAGGGCAGGAGGTAAACGACGAGAGTGTAAAGTATTTATTTTTAATTTACCTCACCAATACGTTCAACATTTTCAAATAATTGTTTGCTGCTTTAACTATTAGAGGCAATAGACAACAGCTTTTTGGCGGTCGGCGACAAAATATTTGAGCACGACAACCACGAGATAGACAACCTAAAGCGATAACTAAGGCGCATAGTAAAGCAGCACACCTAAGCATGCACTTGTGTCCTTCATTATTGTGTCGGAAATTTGCAAGTTGAATCCGAGATATAACACGTGCCGCATACAACACAATGAAAAAGTGTACGCCATAAAAATATATATGAAAAATACACAACTTTGGAAAAAATTCTTTAGAGCCTAATACGAAAGGTGAGAAGCGCCCTGACAGTATCGTAGAAGTGTAAAGCGAAAGGTTGTTAATGTTTGCTAATTAAAGTGTGTTTATATATTACATTTTAAAAAGAAATACAAGTTTAAAACACATATGTCTACATGCACAAAAATTATGAATTTAAGTGAATGAAATATAATTTTGAATTCAAAGTTCTATAAGAAATTTTATATCAAGTATTTTAATTTTGTAGATATAGATTAAAATCGATTATAGTCCTTTATAGAATTATTTGTATACATATGTACTATATACATACATATATAGGGTAAAAAAAAAGACGCAGACAGATTATAAGTGAAGCATTTTTTTGTGTAAAACTACATTAATTACTTACGTGTTTTCTGTCTGGCGTTAACCTTATCATTTAAACTTTCGACATATATACATATTTGCACCTTTTTTCCCTAAGTTCTCAGTTGTGCTCTGTTTTCATTTTCTATTTTAGCCTCTCAACGAAAATGCTCTCCATTCAGCAAGTGATCAAAGCTCTCCGAAAGCTACAAAACAGTAGGACTAAAAACATTGGCGGTGAGTTAATAAAACAAAACTTCAATCGAATTGTGGCTGAATCGTCAGCCACTACGAAATCTGAAAATGTAGTGGAAGCGATACCAGCGTTTGTGGGCGCAATTTCTCCACCCAATGAAAGTGCATTTCTGTTGGCACCGACGACTGTGACGTCACCACAATCGTTAACCGATGAGATGATATCACCACAACAACAACATTTGCAACCCCACCAAACTGAGAATAAGCAACAGCTGTTCCTCACAACTAATTCTAGTCATCAACAACAAACATATCAGCCACTGCGGCATTCACAAGCATTCGAAGTTAAATGTGAAACTGGCCTACAACGTACCGTCAGTGTTGTTTTGCCAGCGATTGAAAACGGTGGTGTCAGAGCTGGTGCGGGAGACCAAATTGGCGTAAATTCATATAAGATAACAACAACAAATGCGAATGCTTCAAATTATAGAAAAGCAATTGTATCCGGAACTATAACACGCTCTCAACAGATACAGAAGTTCTATCAGCAGCATCTGCATCACTTCCATACACAAAACAATCATAATTTTGAAAATAAGCAAACACAATATAACGCAATGTCATCACTAGCTGCTGAACCTAAAACTTTGAAGCAGGATGAACAAACTGCGGCTGCCACAAATGGGCAACATATGTCAGAGAATGGAACCACCACCAGTAATGGTAGCAGTTGTAATGGCAATGAACAGAAAAATTCTTCTGGTAAGCCATGTTTTAACGCCGGGCTGGGCCAAATACTACAATTTATGGAGTTAATTGGCAATTTAAAGGTAAGCAAAAATAAGACTTTTTTGCAATAATTTGACATCATTCATCGATTTTCTCAGTACCAAATTGCATAACCCACACAACCGTTTACTGAATAGCTTCGAATACAGTTTTGAGTGAAGTGATTAGAAGAAATGTGCACTAAAAAGTAAAGAAGCATTACCTGTGTGGTATTGAATAAATATATAATAAAGTATTTGCAAAATATGTCAAACCGCACTTTCAGTGATGAACTCGCATGCGAAACGAAAACCGGTTTCGTTTTCGTTTATTAAAAACAAATATATAAGTGCACAATGGATGTAGCTAGTTAGTGGCACAGCGTTCGAAGTGTGTTCTTAACCAGTGAGCCAACATTTAATGTGCGTACGGAAATAATTGCTAACAAAATACACTTTTGTTAGTTAAATCAATAAGGTAACGGAAACATGTGCAAAATTTGGAGTTACCGCTACTAAATGAGTTACTTATTTACTAAAAACTACAATTCTAAAGTACTGCTGTAGCAATAACAACAAATATTTCTGTTTAATCGATAAATATAAAAGTTGTGTTTGATGATTAATTTAGTGACGTGGAGTATATATGTACATATAGCACACAAATTGCAAACATAATATCCGTACCTAAGCAGTTTTGCTGCAGTGGAAGTACACTCGCCGCGTCTAGACTCTTTGTAATATTTTATTATCAGGCGCTTTTTAAGTAAATGCAAACCTTTGTATGTATTTACGTGTATGATACAAGTTACACATTATTGAAGTTTTTTCACGACGATTAAATAATATGGTAAAAGAAAACAGTTATGCAATAGAAAACTGGAAGCTGTCAAAATTAGCGCAATATAGAAATTATCGCACAAATTCGTGCAACGTTTGCAATTTGTAGATGTGTATTATTTCATAACACAATTTCTCTTTGTTCTCACGTTCATTATTTCATTCTATATAATTCTATGTAGATCTCTTTGACATACGGGGACATTATTTTGTGCAATGTCTGTTAATCCAAACAAATACTAAATATTTTGTTGTTTTAATGAAATATATTGAATTAGTCTTTCAAATATAATGTTTATAATATTATAATTAAACCTTAATTTTTTACACATTCATTTAGCTAAAATAAAAAAAGTCTCAAGTTTTATTTGATATCTACGTAAATTAATTTATTGTTTCAATACATTTATTGTATTTTAATTACAAATAGCTCTAAATGTAATAGTGCAAATTTGGTAATTTAAGCAATTTTCTCCTCTAATGCATTTACATAGTTGCAACTTTGTGAGCTATATAATTCACTTAAAATTGTATTATTTTGTAAATAACACCTTCGTCCGCACACAATGTATATTTTTTCTCTTTAGCGTACATTTCGTTCTTGCAGTCCGTATATTTTTAAAAATAAAATTCACGCGCTCGCTACATACGTATGTACGTACGGACAGCACACACTTGCTCATATATGTATATACAAAGATACATATATGCACATAGTTTGTATATTATACATTTTTGTAAATTACAGAAAAGTAACAAAATAAATAATAAATGATCTTGTCAAAAGTAAAAAATATAATATAATATAATACAATTTAAAATTTCTTTCTTTGACATATTGTATCGAAACAGTCCGCTATGTTTGCAATTTCAAAAGTCTTTTCCTATTAAGTTATACCTTTTTCTTATTCTGCTCAAAGTTATTTTCAAAAACATAATATCCATTTCTTTATCTTCTTTATGTTAAACTTACTATTTAATAGAGGTTCTCCAATTTCATTATCTCTGATGAAAACACAATATATAGTATTATATGTGATTCAGAAAATTTCAAAGCATTTTATGTACATAAATATATTTTAAATAATACAATACATTTCTGTGTCAAATGCCCTTCTATTACTTTTTGTTTATATTTAACTAAAATATTCACAAGAAAAATGTTGAATATGATTTCAATATGTACATAAATATATAATATATGTATTTGTATAAACGAGTCTTCAAGAATGCTTGTGCTACATTCTGCTCATTCATTCATTCTGCATTTGTCTTGGACTTATTTTTATTTTCTCTACTTTGAAGGCCAAGATCAATGTCATCAGAAACATTGCAACTAAAAAGCGAAATTTTTACGCATGATAAGTAAAATTTAAGGTTTTAGTTTTTTATTAACTAAAATAATTTTGTTTGAAAATAATCGGACTGCTATGATTTCAACAAAATGTGTATTACCAACATTTACAAAATAAAGCATAAATAGAAGAGCAAACCGATGTTTTCTTTTCTTGTTGCTATCATTTGCAATTCATTCGTTTTTATCTGCATATGTATATATTAGCGTTTATAATTTAGAAAAGGTAGAATTTATAGAATTTTATTGTTGGAATAGTTAACCATTCTCCAGAGCTAAAGGGCAGGAGGTCATTCTATCTTTAGGCCGCTTTCTTCAAAAAATATTATCAACCCATTTGTTAAGTCATCATTGATATCTGTAGTACACAAACGCTAAGTAAATTTTCATAGTAAATGTATTACTGTAATATAAAACTCTATTGAATCTCGTATCGCCATCTGTTATCAATAATTTTCAAGTGCTAAAGTGTTAAATTTTTTGTCTGCCATTTTTTCTATTCATGCACGCTTGTTTTATGATTTAATCTATTCACATGCATTCAGTGCACACTTTATCGTTCGTCATAAATTGAAATTTCTACGTTTTACTTACCGCGAATGCTTATAATTATAATTTTTTCTTTTCTATTATCACTTATTCATTCACGTGAGTATCAATTTAACTTATAAACGAATGTATGTACATGCATGTATGTATGTATATGTTCGTATATGTATATTTTTTTGTATATTCGCATACAAAGATCCATTATGTATTTTTCATTTTTTTACTACACTATTATTGCCGTCTTCTCAAAAGTTCGTGGGTTATATTAAAAACCCCAGCAAGAACGTCTCACACTATTCAATGTATGCACCCGAAAACTAACTTATATTGTTGAAATTCGTCGACAAAGCCGAATGATAAGTAAAATATTATTTGTTTGCTTGTTTAAACCAAAATAATTTTAATAAAATAATTTTTAGTAACTTGCAAAATAAAATTCAAAATACCAGATATAATTATTCCGATACTCTTCATTTTTAGTTATGATGATTTATTTATATGAATTTATGTACAGGTAAAAGCGTTGCTGTCAAAACAGCTGTTAAAATGACTATGTGTTCTCCATTGACATATTTTTGACATTTGGCAAATAATCGTGCGTCTTTAAAAACATTTTGCATTGTAGCCAGTTGAGCCAAAATACTAATTTCTTGCTACTGAAATTCAAGTGCAAAAAAATAATAAATATTGATCCTTTAATATATGAAGTAGCTATTTAAATTTGTTTTGAAACTTTTTTTCAAGTATCAGTAATCAATAAGGCAAAGTAAACTTGTTATCAGTCAATTAATAAATGTTTTTCCTTATCGTTTTTATTCACTTCACTTGCAATGAATCTAGAATATTCCTCCCAAATAAAGTTTTCATACAAGGGCTTGATTTTGATAGCTCAGTTTGCATGTCTTGTATGTAAGCTTCTATGTCGCACATTGCTAAATCGACTAAACTTCTCAATTCATATATACACTAGTGGATCCGGCAATGAGTTGCTGTGGTATACATTTTATACTATTATTATATAATAAACCATTACAGTAAAATTTACGAATGAAGGCGAAAACATTTTTTCTGTCCATTTAATACAGTTGTCCGCTTAATAGAACGTTAATAGAGCTTTCACTGTGTTTTTGATTTTTGAATTAGTTTTACTATCCTATCTTCTAAGTGCTAAATTTTACTAAAATCGGTTCAGTAGTTTAGGAGTCCATCGCGGACAAACAACGTGACACGTACTTTTTATATATAAAGATATGTATGTACATATATTGTATATGTTCCCAACTTTTTTCTTACAATAGTAACAAGCTTCGTGGCAAATTTAATCTAACATGTTAATCAACCATGAATACTTCGAAGCATCACATCTTATCTTTTATTAGTAGCATTAAACGACGACTCAAATCTTTTTGTTCACAGATATTTTTGGCACGATTTTACTTTGGCCGTTCTAGTTGTTATTGTAGAGGCAGAATTCTGCCGAGTTAGCAGTCCTTGGTCAGGTAAAAAGTACGGGGTCGTTCCGGTTACGTAGACCCGAATGCCGTGGGAACCGTTCCAGTCGTTGTTAAAAGTCAGTTATCCAGTCAACTGTCAAGGTCAGCTAGGTGATTTACGCTCTTAGTTTCAAATAACAGGAAAGTTGGCCATCTTTATTGGGCATTTATTTCTGATTTCGGGCTTAACGAATGTGTGTGTATGTGTATGTATGTAACAAGAAAAATTCTCGATTTCTAGTGTGATTTATTTTGAGGCGACCATCCATAAAATAGTATTCCAAACGGAAAGAAACGTGAATTTTATTATTTTAGTTTCACTACAGGGTAACGCATTGTCCGCAGTAAACTGCTAATGTTTATTACACGAATGTATATGTACTATAATACTTCACTGTCGACTTTGCATACGAGGTGCACACACGTGCATATTTGTTAATTATTTTTATTATCAAGCGTTCCGACACGTACATACATATACTGTAGCAATCCAAAGAAATGTGATAATTACGTATGCGTCAGCAAAAAACTAAAAGGAGGAATAAAAGTATTTGCACTACTTTGAAATAATCATTGACAACTTAAAAAGCAAAATTTGAACGCTTAAATTGGTAAAGCGTTAATAAAATAAACAAGTGTGAGTAATTGGAAGAATTTATTTATAATAAAAATCATTAAAAGGCATAAATATAATATTATATTAGAAAAAAATACGTTATCCAATATAGTACACACCACTTGAGATCGCTTAGTAATTTTATGCCTCTAATTGCTGCAAATGAATTTGATTCTCCATTTCCGCTTATTACTTGCACTCTACAGTTTTT